TATATAGAATATATTTATATAAACCTTTTATATATTATATAGTACTTATAAAGTAGTTAGAAGATACTACGTAACTCTAAATTACGTATAGAAGGTATTAGATTATAAGTATAGCTATGCGTAATATTTAACTATTTAGATATAGTTAAGATAAGAAGTTAAAGATATACTAATAGAATCTATAAATATATAATATTATGCTATTAGCCTATACTACTATAATATTCTAGAGATATATCTATAACGTTTCTATATTAGTATATAAGTAGTATATATTTATAGCTCTAAGGTTGCTTATTCTAATATTTAATGTACTTATACGTATAGAGCTTATACTATACTAGTAATTTCTTATTTTACTATTACTTTTACTAAGCCTACTATTATAACTTAGTCTAGTTTCTATATACTTTTATCTTACTCTTATCTAGTCTTTACTAACGTATACCTTTAATATACCTTTATCTTTACTATTACCTCTATTTACCTACTCTACTTTATAGCTTATACTAACACTATATACTTCTAAATATATTCTTTTTATTTCTTTATTAACTTATACTTACTAATATATTTTATATATAGACGTATATTATAGTTATATAATATAAGTATTACGTAACTTAGATATCTAATCTAAAATAGTTATATTAAGTTTTATTATATTATAAGCGCTATAAAACTTCTTATTATACTCTACTATTATATATCTAGTTCTATATAAACATTACCTTACGTGCTATATATTAGCGTGTATAGTTATAAAGGCCTAAAGAATTTTACTACTAGTAATTAGTAATAAACAAAACTTAAGAAACGTATATTCTATTTATAGCGTCTTACTTAGCCTAATTAGAATAGCTATAAAAGTAATAATACTACTAATAATACTTATAATATTCTTAATATAACGCTACGCTAAACTCTAAGCTATAATAATACCTCTCTAGTTATTATAGTAGACCTAACTAATATAAAAGCGCCTCTTTTAGCTTCTAATATTAATCTAGAGATTACTAGTAATAAGTATATCTAGCGCTTGTATAGTATTTAAGTCTAACTAGATTAGAAAGTATTACGTACTATATAATCTAGCAAGACTTAAATAGCTCTAGATAATATCTCTAATATTAGTAAAGTAACTAGCAACAATATAGTAATTATACTTAATAAGCTTTACTTACTTAGCCTAATATCTAAATATAATAATAATATAAATAACTAAATTCTATTAGACGTATAGAAGGTAATCTATTAGCTATAGAGTTTATACTCTTAGATAGTAATACTAGAAGATTTTAAAATACAAAAACCTAAACGCTATTCTATTAATACCTACGTAGTAATACCTATCTACTTTATATAAAAAGAAGTAAGCGCTTTATTAGATTATAAAAGTATTATTTTAGTAATTAAGAATTATATTAATTATCTTTATAAAGTAGAGATTAAAAAGTTTATTTATTAAAAATCTTATTTACTAGTTAAGTAGAATTATATATCTAAGAAAAAGAAGTAAGCCTATAAGAAAGTAGACTATAAAACTATTAGCTCTAATAGTCTATTAGCTTCTAAGAAACTAAAGTAAATAAAGAAAGCTATTACTCTATATAATGCTATAATAACTACTTTAACTTTCTAGCTTAATATACTCTCTAATTTAGCTCTACCTATTAGGTCTAATATATCTATCTAGCTAGCAGCGTTAGCCTAGCCTAATATATCTCTCTACTTTATAGTAGTAGCCTAGCCTAATATACTTCTTAAGCTAGTAGTAGTAGTCTAGTCTAATCTACGCCTCTACGCAGCTCTAGTTACACTACTAAAGCTCTCTAAAGTTCTATACTATAAGAACTTTATAAATTAGTAATTTATTAGCCTTATAGTAAGTAGAGATACTAAGTAGAATAGCACTAGCTTTACTTTATTAATATATTATTTAACTATAGCTACACTCTATATAATTATAGATATTCTATTTTATAAAATAGTAGCTAATATTATATAATAGCTACTTAGCTCTAATATTACTTAGAACCTAAAGATATAGTTTATTATCTTACTATTATTAGGTAGAGTAATTCTTAACTTACTAGATAATAATATTAATTACCTATTATTAGGCGTAATTAATATTTATAGAGAGAATAGTATAATATTTAAAATAAAGATAGTTAATTACCTAGACGCTATTAAAAACTTAGATTCTATTATACTACTAGTAGACGTAGCTATAGCGTCTTTCTAAGCTATTAATAAAGATCTACTTATTAGAGCTATTTACTACTCTATATATAATAACTATAAATTTAATAACTAGCTTATAAGCTTTCTTAACTAAATATTTAATATAAAAAATAAAAACCTAATTCTACTACTACTACCTCTTATATTAGCTAAAGATATAAATACTATCTATATGTAATTTATAAAAGATAAGTATAACTAAGTATAGGTAGTATTTAATCTTCTATCTATTAGATAGTTTAAGGTAGAGTTAATCTAGATACTATAGATTTAGTAGATATTATAGTTTTATTAACTTATTTAGATTATATAGAGTATAGACAAGTTTAAAGATCTACCTATATACTAGCTTATAAATAAGTAAGAGCTAGAAAAGACTATAGAAGAAATAGTAATACTTTAGATATATAATATTATACTTTTAATAAATAAATTAATTAGTAAATAGCACTATAACTTTACAAAGGCGTACTATAGCTATTATATACTAGATACACTAACTAGTATAAAGTATTTATTTTAGAGTTTCTAGCCTATTAGGTATAAGTGTAAGCTAGAGTTGCTAACTAAAAATTAGAAGTCTACTAATAAGCTCTTACTTATTATCTATATAGTTAAGTTAACTATTAGAAATTAAGCTAAAAAGATTAGAATATTCTATAGTAATAACGCCTCTTTTACTCTTTTTTCTATTATTTACTATAGATCTAAGAAAAGCTCTAGTAGAAGTACTACTATACTTAAAAGTAATAGCTACCTAAAAATCTTTTATAATAATACTATTAAAGTAGCTAATTTAATCTATAGTAAAAATAGGTAATACGTAAAAATAGTTTATAACTATATTCTAATTACTTCTAAGTAGAGTATTAGTAGCTATATTCTAAACTTACTAGAATTAATAGATAAAAATAGAAAAGTAACTAAGTAGCTACTAGATTTCTAAATTAGCTTAGTTAATAAAAGTTACTAGGCTACTAGAGTAGAATCTAGATTTGCTAAAGCTTTAAAGCTCTTAGTATTATTAGCTAAGCTTATTAAGTTAGTTAAGTTAGATAATAATAGTAAAGTTCTATTAAAAAATTATCTAGTTAAGTTTATCTTTATAAGTAGTATAATATTTATAGAAGTAGCAAACTTAGCTCTATATTAAGTAGTTATCTAAAACCTAGTATAATCTCTCTAAGTAGTATAGAAGTATAAAAAGAATATAACTAAACTAGACTAAGTAAAGAAAAAATATATAAGAATTCTAAACTATAATATTACTACTATAAAAGTTATATATACTAAACTAGCTAAGAGTTTAGGCAAATATAGTAAAGTAGAAATAGACTCTAATATTAGTAAAATCTTAGTAGATATCTTAATACGTAGGTAGTAAAATATAAGAATTTCTAAATAGTAGCTATTTAATATACTATTAGTTTTATTACTTATAGTCTATAACTTAGTTAAGAAAATCTTATATCTACCTAAAGTTCTTAAAATGTATAATAACTAACTAGTTAATCTATTTAAGAAGATACTTAAAGATAAAAAGAGTAAGTCTAAGAAGATTATAACTATTAAATAAAAGCTTATTAATTAAAGCTACACTATATAGATATTAGAAAGTTTTCTCTTACTATATAGTATAATATCTAACTTTAATAGTTAGAACTAAAGCCTAATATAGATTAATATAAATATAAAGTTTAGTAGAGTTAAATACCTTACTATATCTCTAGATAATAACTCTTTATGTAAGAAAGTTTAAAATACTTATAGTAATAACTTAAAGATAAGAACTCTTTATAGTCTAATTAATACTATTTTTACTACTAATATAATATATAATTAAAATATAAACATATACTAATAGAAGAATTTTAAGTTATTCTCTAGCGTAGTAGTAGATTACTTAGAGAAGATTATTATTATAGTATAAAATATATTTACTACTATAGCTACGTATAATATCTTATAAAAGGCCTACCTCTATATTAGTATTACTTTATATTATTTAGTCTTAGATAATAATAAAAAAAAAAGTAATTATTAAAAGCTTTATAAATAAAAAGAACACTAAAAGCTAATTTAAGTAGACTTTCTACCTGCGTATTCTAGTAGTAGTATAGTTTCTAATATCTACTAGACTTAATTTATAATATATAAACGTTATTATTACTCTAAAACTATATTTAAGTTCTATCTAAGAATTATAAATAAAATATAGAGTATTATAAATTAGATAATATTAAAAATGCTATATCTACTAGTTTTATATAAAGAGGCTAAAGTTTAAGAATATTATAACTAACTATAAAATATATAGAGAGATACTAAAGAAGGCTACGTACTTAACTAAGACGCTAATAGAAGATTAGGCTATATTATATCTAAGCGCGACTCTAGCTACGTATGTATGCACGTTACTCCTGCTACAAGTACTAATCTGCTAGTATCTTGCTTGTATTAGTCGCCGCGGTGGATGACAAACCCTCACTTGGGGTGATGGCGAAGTTACCTAGGTATCTAAGAATTCGAAGTGGGGTCTTTGCAGTCCTCTTGGCGTGTTCCGAAGTTCTAGTCTGTGGGCTACCTCCTGAGTGAGCTGGGATGCATTGGCAGTCAGTTGGTGTCTGTGATCGTGGGCAATGCTGATAGCGCGAGTCAGGCTGATCACATGACGTCGCGACTTCTTTTTGTCCCGCTCGTGCAGTGCCGACATCCCACTCGCGACAACGCGCCGGCGATGCGCCCCACCCTCCATGTCCCTCTCCAAGCATGCGAAGACGTACTTGGCGAACCAGTCGAAGTACAGACACTTCAACGCGTTTAATTCCCTCGTCGAAGCGTCCATCTCCCAAAGCAGCGATGCCTCCAAATCCCGTACCCTCCGCCGCCAACCCGACAGCGTCGCCGACAAGCCAATCGCAATAAAGGACAACATCTGCACGAAGAACCTAAAGACTACTGCTTCCTCCGGGATACTCAAAGACTTTAGCAGCCCATATGACGCCACGGTGGTGAGGCTGCTCCAAGATGAAGGTGCCGTAGTGGTAGGCAAGACGAACATGGACGAATTCGGCATGGGATCGCACTCGACACATTCACACTTCGGACCAGTGAAGATGCAGAGATACAAAGGAGAGGATGCAAGTGCGGGTGGAAGCTCAGGTGGAAGCGCGCTTGCTGTCGCGTCGTCGCAATGTTGGGCGTAAGTGTTTGACAGCCGACGAGGACGGAGTATGTGTGCTGAGACGAGCAGCGCGTTAGGTACCGATACTGGGGGGTCGGTACGGCTTCCTGCTGCATATACCGGGGTCGTTGGGTTCAAGCCAAGCTACGGACTGCTGTCGAGATGGGGCGTGATTGCCTATGCGAACTCTCTGGATACTGTCGGGATCTTTGGCAAGAACGTGGCGAGTGTGAAGAGCATTTTCTGTGAGTCTATAGAGATGTAGACTATGATTTCCACATCTCTGACTGAGTCCAGCCAAGGTCAACATCCACGATGCGCAGGATCCGACGTCCGTTCCCAACACAACCCGAGCAAAATTCCGTACAGGGAAGCGACCAACTTCGTTGAAGATAGGCATTCCTCTTGATTACAACATCGACACATTGCAGCCCGCTGTCCGAAAGGCATGGATTGACCAACTCAGACATCTGTGGAATGCTGGTCATACTTTGCACCCTATTCGGTTACCCACAACACAACAAGCACTATCAGCCTACTACGTCCTTGCGCCAGCCGAGGCATCGAGCAACCTCGCAAAGTACGATGGTGTGCGTTTCGGAAGTAGAGCCGAGGGCATCGATGGTACACCAGAAAGTGTGCTCTTTGCTAAAACCCGGGGTCAAGGTTTCGGTCCGGAGGTTCAGCGGCGTATACTCCTTGGAGCCTTTTCACTAAGCGCCCAGGCTATCGACAACTACTTCATACAAGCACAAAAGATTCGGAGGCTCGTACAACAAGATTTCAACAGGGTGTTTGTCAGTCCAAACCCGTTGCTCGATGCCGAAGAAACCGTGGCAGAAACAGAAGGAGTGGACGTGATCATATGCCCCACAGCTCGATCAACGGCACCGTCTTTGGCTGAAGTCGAGAATCAGGATCCAGTGCACTCATACATGAACGATGTCTTCACCGTACCAGCTAGTCTTGCCGGGCTGCCAGCAATTTCTCTTCCCACATTTACTCCTTACAAGGAAAAGAGCCAGAGTTCGACGGTCCCGGATTCATTCTTCAACACTGTAGGACTGCAGATCATTGGTCAATACGGAGACGATGAACTCGTTCTGTATACTGCAGAACAGATGGAGATTTTCAGAAGTACTCCGCAGCCCAATGGCAGACCGGAAATAACCGCATGGGGCGGTGGTCTTGAATGGCTTGTGGACGAATTCCTTCAAGCGCTAGGGCCCAGACGTCTTGACGCCGGTGCTGCTATGTGTGAGATGAGCCGGACAGCGTATGTGGCCACTTTCGCTGATAAGAAGAATCCGCTTGCTGCTGAGAGGAAACAGTTTGAGGCGGTTCAATACATTCGGGGAATATGGGGTCATGTGTATGACGAAGGTCGGATATAGAAGGCAAATCGATCTATCAGCCGCACGAGGGTGAATGAGTTGCCTAGATGCATGTGATTTTCAAAGATGTAAAAGCATTTGCTCTGATACGTTCACCACCCAGTCACCACCAGTGTGTCTAATACGTAAGACCTCTCTTCTCTCTGGAGATGTCATGTCAAATGACAGAGACCATCGTTTCCATCGAGATCCTCAAAAGTGTCACTCACTCACTCAAGCACTATTGGGACTCCCAACTATAGCTCCATATTACGTATGCTCTCGCCTCACTCCAAAGGCAACGCATGCCTGATCCACCTCACTTACGCCGTCAATCTCACAAGTCTCGCGCTCAACATGAGCGTCACCTTCCTTGTGCGGTCCTTTGAGGATGTCAAGTCCGAACGTATCAAGGGGCGCGGTCGATGTACCGCTGGCAAGACTACCATATCATTGTATGGGCTTGGTGACAAGACATGTGGAGCCGTCTTCTGCCTTGGAGGCTTGCTAGAAGATCCTAGTCACCTGGTATGTGCGACAAAGTCTGAGCGAACCGCGGCTGCCGCTCTTATGTTAATATGCTATCGCTTTTCAAGAGTTGTTGGGACCGGGTGGGTGTTTGGTATGGAGTCCACTGGTGTTAGGGGGATGACATACTTAGCAGCTACAACTCACCATGTACCGCCGCAGCCGCCATCAACTCCCGAGGTCACACGCCAACGGATTGGAAACTACGTCACATCTGGGGAGTGACTAATTGCTTAGACGCTGTTGTGTGTAGTCAAAAGATACATCTCCTGATGTATCATGTCACTTGTCGTTTTCCAGGGTCCCAAGGTTTGCCTAGGTACCTAGGTAAAGTGAAATGCGAGGCTTCTCCCCACGTGTTGCCCACTAGCTGCATCATAGCTCCACTGACGGACCGTCGCGATTGGCTTCTCGGCCATACTACATTGAGCGCTACCCATCGATGCATCATCAGATCACGCGCTTGAACTTGGTGTAGATCTAGATTCTTGACTTCGGTCGCGCGTCCTTCCAGGCATATTCACATGCATGTAATTGACAGCAAAGATCCCACTGAAACAGGACACAGTTAGGAACTCGCTATTCGAGTTGTATGCACCGTACTATGATTCACATGAACATACAGCGAACTGCCAAGTCCGCAATCAGATAGTGCCCAGAAGCGGGGAATGCGTATGCAGTGCCACCACTCGATTCTGATGCAGCCAGTGGACGTTTGAGACGTAAGCACCGGATTAGGGGTCACCAACATCATCCCACGTTGGTGGTGCTGTGCCCGTGCCGTCCCATGGCTCTCAAGGCTCCAGAGCAGCGGGTCGTACCTAGGTACAAGCGATCTGCATGATGTCTCACACGTGCAGTGCGTCAACTCAAGCGCTAGAATACGGTGAGGAAGTCAAGGCCGAGGCGTCCTCTTTGTCAGTGGTCAGGCTACAGCGTCGAGCAGAGCGAAGGTGCCGTGGAGCCCGATGCACTGATACGGTTGCAGCGGCAAGTGACTCCATAGCCAATACCATCAAGAGATGCTCGTATCAGCTTGAAGGCTGACGAAGGCTCCTCTGCAACCGGCCCGGTTGAGTATACCGGTAAGTGCGGCATATATGCGAGAGGCAGCCTAGAGCGGTACGTCTCAGCACCTAGCACACCCAGTGGGTGAGCTATCCAGCCATTCACCGGTGTTCCTCAACCAACCAGATGGTCTTCCCCTCCAAGTTGTCTGTTGTGTATGGTGTGAGACGAGCGTGGCGTACGCTTAACCGCGGGAGGTCGAAGGACGGTGGCTCTGATGGGGCGGTTAGCAGGTCGATATGTCACTCTCCATCGGACCCCACCGCCTCGCGCATGACCATTTCGAGTGACAGGGTCTCCACCGCGGCGTGGGTAGGGAGTCGTTACCAAGTCGCGAGCTGGTGGCCAGGTGCTCTATATAAGTGTCTGCCCTCAGCACCTTGATGGCTCATCACGCTCCAACACTTCTACAATCCAACCAACCAAACAATCCAACAACCCAATCAACCAATCAAAATGGCCCCCTGGTACGTCTTCCGACCGACTTTGGTGTTTGACACACGGTGGTGTGCTGCTGCTTCAGGGCTAGCGCCAGCACCGTGATGGACACTCTACTGGGAACATGGAGGGGCTCTGGCTAACAAACGAACAGCAACTGCTCCTCCTGCAAGTGCGCTGGTGACTGCTCCAGCTGCGGATGCGGATCCTGCTCCGTAAGTACATCTTGAGATATACCGACGCGGTGTCTTCCTTACGGTCTGGAATGGCACTAACAACCCGAATAGCACTAAGCGTCAAGCTACCCTGAGCCTCGGAACTCTTCCAGCAACACTTCCATCGAGCGATTCGGAGATGGAACAATGAACACTGTTGGAAATCGGGGTGAACTGCCAATACCAAGGGCCATGACTGCTGGGAAATATTAGATGAGATATGATCATGAAATAAGGACACTCACTTGAAAACCACGTCTCCCCACGTGCTGTGAACATGTCAATGAATCTGCTTGATTTCTGAACTTACCTACTGCGGATGAAGCATCGATATTGATGCACCACAACAACACGAGAGGCAGGCTATGCGATGAAAGGGGAACACGCCAGCAATCTGTCGACCCTGTTCTTCTCGGTCATGCTTTTGGCTAGCACATGTATCGCTTTAATCGGTGTTTGGTACATCACTTGACGGAAATCGAGTAAGTTCGTATCAAGGGAGAACGTAAAAACTATGTTCATACAACAAGTCAAGGTAATCATCGAGCGCTCCAACTACTTCAAATATCAAGATGTTGACGAATGTCATCACCAAGCCTCCACTCCTCATCCTTCGCCATGCGATCGAGAGGACTTTGCATGTCGTCCTCGTCACTTCTACGCGTACCAGTCGTACCCGTATCGCTGACGACTGTCGCGCCACTCACACTACCGCTAGTACTCTTGCTCCGCCTCTTCTTAAACCAACTCCGTTTGCTCTTTGTGCTCGCTGCATCTGTATCCGACGCTATCGATGCGGCATACTCGCGTCCATCACCCTCGACTAAAGTAGGGTCTGTACTGGATGCTACACTGAGATTGGAGGAGAGCTTTGTGAGTTGATTAGGGTCAAGGTCTCCGGAAGTATCGATTGGGCCAGGTTTAGGCGTGGGCATAGGCGTTGTGTCTGTGGACGATGTCGATTCGACGAGCTCGGCGTCGCGATACCATTTCCGACGGCGGGTATAACGCCCCCAACCATCTTGACCTCTTCGTCCGTCCCTCCACTGTTGAAGTTAGTATCAGAAAATTATACCAAGTTACTTTGCTTACTTTATTGTCGTAGTATATCCACGCCGAATCCTCCTTGGACGCGCCTTTGTCAGCTTTGCTGTCTTTCTCCGCGCCTTCAACCTTCCATTCACTGCCTTGCACCCACCGCCATCTCGACTGACCTCCTTCAACTTCAGGTAGTTCGAACTGTTCTTTAGGTGGAACCGGGTTCAGGTGCTCATCCGTCCAAGACGCTCGCTCGTAAGCAAGCATAGACGATGTCCATCCGATACCTAGCCATCTTCGCTGGTTCTCATAGATGGAGAAGGTGAAGCGTACGCCTGTAGATTCGGGCCGACGCTTAGCCGCCAATGAAGCTGCAACCTCCTGCGTGCTCTTCTTTCGAGGTGGCAGAGGAGGCGCACCCTTCCTATCTACTGACACAATTTCGCCAAAGTCTAGTCCAGTTATGAAGGCGCAGGTACGTCGGACTGTTCTCGATCTCCACAGGAGGGTTCGGGTTACGCGGGCTGGTCGTGAATGCCAGCTCAGCATCACTGTGCCTACCGCCAGTACCACTCGCTTCGTAGTCAGGATATAGAACGGCGGTAGCGTGAGTGCTATCCATAGCGGCAACACGAAGAGGATTCGGATAAACAACACAGTGAGCGCCGGACGTGTAGTAGCCGAGGTCGCAGTTCTCTGCGTGGATAAGAAGTCTGTGAGGCGTAGAAAGGGATCTAGTAGGATGTTGCAGCGCGAAGTGAAGAGCTTCAGACTATCCACAATTTCTTCCAGGCTTTTGTGATGCTTGATGTTGGTGTCCGACTCGACGCGCTTGTGCGCCTTCTGTCCCTTCTCGCCTGTCCACCCGGTCGACGATAGTGGAGAATATCTTCGCGTGTACATGCCCAGTATCAGTCCAGACACGACGATAATGGGCCCTGCGTATCTTGTCACGGCATCACCGTACATGACGACGGCCCAAAAGCTTGCGACCACGAGAAAGCTCTCCCATGGGTCTCCGGTCGTCCATGTCACCAGCCCAGCAAACTTGTTCAGAGGTAATATGAAGGGGTGCGAATAAGCGAGCACGCGAGTGATCTGTGGTGGTGTAGCCGCAAGTAGGGGCGACTTCTGGTGCACGAGTATGGCGGAGCGCAGTTTTGATTGCGGTGTCGTCTGGCCTAGGTTGGCGGGAGAGAAGCTGGCATACGTCGGGTTGGAATTCGAATCACCGGTTGGCGGCGGGGACGACGCATCGTTGCTGGATTTTGAAGGGGTGGACATGTGCTGTATCCAGGGTGTGTCTATGTGGGCATGAGCATGTTGTTTGCGCAACTCGGTTTTACTTGCATGTGGTTGCAAGTTTGGAAGTTACCAACCTAGTGCTGCCATGCATGGGGTTGTGCGTCATCGCCTGGCTGAGCAGTGGAGGCTGAGTGCCGCGCTCTTGTCAAGCCACGCTCAGTGATTGTACAGGAAGGAAGCCTGCAGCGATGCACAACTGAAGCTCGAGAGATGTTGGAAACTGTCATGCAAAGTCGCACATGACGTTGTCGCCGGGAGTGATGCGGGGATCTTTGAGCATGTGAATGTCTTAGTCCGAGGGCGACTTGCGGAAGCCTCAAGGTGCCTCCCCCGGCGCCAATATCCAGAAGCACTCTGAACGAAGGGCGCACACGGGATGCATCACCGTCATTACCATGTTTGACCGGACTGCACGACTATAGCCATCGTCAGGCGCGCAGAGATGCTTGCGAAGATCGCAGTTTGCGATCGTGCTGTGATTGGCTGAGATCACGTGCCCAGTTGCGGAGGCAGGCCGAGAGCGCGGAAGGCGACCCAGAAATTTTGGAGATGCCCTCATTGCCAACAGCACCCATCCGCCCAAGACAGACAGGCGTGGCTCTCGCATAGGATTCGACGGGAATAGCATATTACACAGACTCTCCTTACCTCGTCACCTCTTACAATGGTATGTTCCTATTCGCTGTCACACCGTCTGCAACTAACACGTACAGGCCCACCGCATAATAACACAAGTCGTCTTCTCCGGCGCTCGAATAATAGGTCGCGCCGTCTCCGAATCGTACCGTCAAGCCGCCGCGTCGCAGAAATATGCAGCCGCCAGCCAAGGTGGTGGAGGCAGCGGTGGCGCCTTCTCGTCTTCGAACATCACCATGGACGAAGCCTGCCAAATCCTGAACGTGGGTCCCGGAAAGATGGGAAACATTGAAATAGAGGCTGTCACGGAGCGATTCAAGAGGCTGTTCGATCTAAACGATCCGAAGAAGGGCGGAAGTTTCTATCTGCAAAGCAAAATATTGAGGGCACGAGAGAGGATAGAGAGAGAGGTGCAGGGACATCAACGGGTGGCGGAGCGCGAAAAGGAATTAAGGGAAGGGTGTAAGTACCCATGCACGCACCGCATGTGAGACACATACTGACCTGGTGCACCTACTTCTAGTC